TCTGAAACTAAATTAAGATTGGAGGAAAATATATATTCATGCACACTGTAAAAAGGCTGCAGCCATCTTAACAGGTTTGCTTGCTCCAGCGCCCCCCTACCGCCCCTTTCTGCTCCAGCACCCCCACGACGCCCCTTTTCGTTCTACCGCCCCCCTGAAAAATGAAATCGCCCCCTGGGGGGCATTATTGCCCAGGTTAAGAACCACTGATCTAGTATATGTTGTTTGGCTGGCATACTTTGTAATTTTTTGTAGTATTTCTAGTTGCATTTTTTGTCTTGCCTTTGGCTGTGTGATGGTCTCATATTTCTGGATTTGGGGCTGTTGTTGGGCATGTCCAGATTGCAACACTGATGATTCACAGAGTAGGGTTGTCATGTGGGAGTTTCAGCCTTCTGCTCCTATTGGTAAGGACTACAACTGCAACACAATTTGTAAATTGTAATTTTAAAAACTTTTTCCCCCTTGCAGTATAGTGCTGTACTGATACAAGTACAGTGGTGCCTCGCTTAACGAGGGTAATCCGTTTCAGCGAAATCGCTGTAGAGCAAAATCCTCAGTAAGCAAAATAAAAAATCCCATTGAAACGCATTAAAAACCCATTCAATGTGTTCCAATGGGCTGAAAAACTCACCATCCAGTGAAGATCCTCCATAGGGGCAGCCATTTTCGGTGCCTGTAAAGCGAGGAATCCGTCCAAAAACACAGTGGGGAGCCATTTTACACAGCGGGCAGCCATTTTGAAGCCTCCGATCAGCTGTTTTAAAAACGTCATAATGCAAAGAATCAGTTTCCGAAGCAGGGAACTGATCATCAGGAAGCAAATTTTGCCTATTAAAACATCGTTTTGCAATCGCAAAAGCGATCGCAAAACAGTCATCCTATAGTGGTTGCATCATTTAACGAGGCAATCGTTAAGCGAGGCACCACTATACTCATTCAAATGCTTATCATCCCAAGATTAGACTACGCTGGATGACCTTTTGGCTTCTGGTGTGTCAGAGATTCTATTGCATCTCTTAATGTTGTTTAACTTCATGGCAGCTCTCATTGGACATAGAATCACTGTATTGTTTTTTAGCTGTTATTGTTCAGCACACCTTGTCCCTATTCCAAAAAGACTTTGAGCACACCCCTATCCCTTGAAATATTCATGCTTAATTTGTTTTCATCCCATATCCAGCATTGGGCTCTGCGCCTCTCATTTCCATTGAAGGTTACCAAGACAAAGGGATTCATGTGATCTGCAAGTCCAGCGGCTGGTATCCAAAGCCTGAGGTCCTGTGGAGAGATCCCAGTGGAAATCCTTTCTCTTCATGGGCTACACATATATCCCAGAAGAAGGATGGTTTGTTTGAAGTAGAGGATGACCTCATCCTAACTGGAAGTTCAAGTCAGCGCTTGACCTGTGTGGTCAGGAACACTCTACTCCAGCAGGAGAAAGAATCAACTGTTCACATAGGAGGTAATGTTAGAAAGAAAATAAGAACAATTTTGAGATTTTGATGCGGATTTAGAGGAGGATTCTATGACAATCAACTTTGTCATTGTTAGGAGTGAACATATAATCAAGCTTGTTATCAACACCAGAACATTCAGAGAGTAAATACAAAATCAATACAGCAGGATTTCCTTTTAAAATTTGTTTTTGCTCTTATTTTCCATCCTACTCCAATGAGTACCCAACCACCCTCTAAAGTTAAAAGAAAAAAAAACAGAGAAAGGTTATTCAGGGAGGTTCAGGGAAGATTTGAGGCTAAATGTCCCAGGTCCCAGCACAACACTAACCATTACAGTGGTGCCTCGCTAGATGACGATAATCCATTCCACTGAAATTGCTGTTTAGGGAAATCATCGTCTAGCGAAAAGGATTTCCCCATTGGAATGCATTGAAACCTGTTTAATGCATTCTAATGGGGAAGAATAGTCGTCTAGCAAAGATCTACCATAGGAAAGCCGCTTGCGAACCGCCAATCAGCTGTTTAAATAGCTGTCTTGCAAAGTGTAGGTCCCGAAAACACCCGTTTTGTGAGCACGGAGGGAGCTGTCAAAATCGTTGTCTAGAGAAAATTGGTTTGTGAAGCAGGGACCAAACATTGTTCAGTGAAATTCCCCCATAGGAATCACTGTTTTGCGAATCGCTGTAGCGATCGCAAAAAGTCAATGTCCAGCGAAAAACTGTCATGCGGGGTAACTGTCTAGAGAGGCACCACTGCACATCACACTTTTTCCCTGATTTATCAATTTAATTTAGTTTAATTTAATTTAATTCATACTATCACACTGGTCACCTAGAAGCACTTGGGGCAGTATGTGATAGAAACACTTGAATGTTTCATAAAAGTGGGATCACAGAAATATTAAACAATTCCCTTTCAAGTAGGTTACTAGGGAAGAAAATGAAAAATCCCATGTTAAAAAATGAGGGGTAAGAACATGGCTCTTTGTCTTCTTCTGCCTTTGCAACCATGGGGCAAAGATATGGGGAATATGTAAGAACACTGATATACTGTATTACCAAATGCCATGAAATTATAATGTGTTTTTTTTCCCTCCAGCGATGTGATGAAATGAGACAATGGCTGGAATCTTACTGGTGTTTGTAACCTGCCATATCTGCCATAGCTAAATGTATGTAACTGATGAGGCGCCACGATGTGTCTCAGCTGCATGACTAGGCATAGGAATAGCCACATGACTCAGATGTACCCTGAAACTTTGTCAAGTTGCACAAACTTTTAACGAACACAGTGTAATAGGATTCTGGCCAATTTGTCCACAAACCTATCAATCTGATTTTTCAGTGTACTTCTTTTCAAAAAACAATAACTTGACCATCAGATTCCAGGACGTTTCAAACTCCTTATAACTCTGCTGGTTCCTAGTTCACAAAATATAAGTTTTTGCAATCTCCACTGGTGATGAAATCAAACTGACAACAATTATGCTGATAACATTTGGGAGTAAGCATAGTAGTACTATCTTGGGAACTGGATGGATAGTGTCCCAAATAATTCATTAATCTAAATAAACCCCAAACAATTGATTAATCGATATCTCTAAGATCAACTTCCCGTGCCACTCGCAGTTCTCAGGCATAGGTGCTGCAGGTGGACATCCCGAGGGGGAATCCAGGAAACCTTAAGTACAAGCTGAGCTTTCTCTGTAGTAGCCACCTCTGTATGCAATACTGGAGGTGTGCCAGGCCCTTTCTCTCCTAATATTTAGGAAACATATAAAAACTCAGCTTTTCAGGAAAGAATTTCATACTTGACTATACTGTCATCTTTTTTTAGCTCATTATATTCTGTAGTCCATATCTTGGTCATTGCCACCATCTTGAGTTTTTAGATTTGTCCTTTCGTATTGTACCTTTTAATTTTGATATTTGTGGATTGGACGGGAATGAGTTGTTTTCTTTATGTTTATTTTTATTGCTAGAAACTACCAGAGTAGTGGCAAGGGCACTAGATGGCACATATAAAAACAGAATGAATTAATGAATGAATGAATGAATGAATGAATGAATGAATGAATGAATGAATGAATGAATGAATGAATGAAATGTGAAAAGCAAAGCAGCAGTAGGGATTGATGGTAAATCATGAGCCCTTTTGTGGTCTACCTGCTATTCTGCATCATGGCTCACCATTGGCCAGGCAGTTTAATTCTTCTGAGAATTCAAATTCAACTTCCCTAGCCTAAGCCTAAAGAATTGCATCCTTAAGCAAGCACACATAGATGTGCCCCATCACTTACAAGGTGAGTAATTCAAATTGTAATGCTGGAAAAGTTAGGGGCTATTCATGTTTCAACACCCCAGTGTGTAGGTCAGGGAAGTTAACTACTCCTGCAGTATGATCAGAAGGGGAGTCAAGTATGGTGACTCGTCATTGCCTAAACTTTGCGGTTTGTTTTCCTGTTCTTTAATGTCAAATCTAGGGTCAATAATAATAGTGAAATTAACAGTTTTTTTTTTAAATTTCAGATATCTTCTTTTCAAAGATTTCTCCCTGGGCTGTGAGTCTGTATATGTCCCTACTGGCTTTGCTTGGTTTCATGATGGTTACTCTTTATCTGTTTAAAGCAAGAAGTGAGTATATGTGTGGCAGTCTTAAAGAACCAAAAAAGGCAGGCAGGCAGAGAGGAAGAAATGAAATGAAATTGGAATCTTAACATCCATGACGTTTGTCATGGCATAAGCTTTCATGTAGATGTTTGTATTTTTAGTGGGGGACTTCTAGTGGGTGGGAAGTGTTTGGGGAATGTTATGTGTGTGCATGTGTCTGGTCTCTGGGTGTCTGTGAATTTCGTTGTATGGGTATACTGTGTATATACTTACAATGACAATAAATTATATTAT